GAAGTGGAGTGCACTGACGGACTTGGAGTACGCGGACGGGTGTCGAGTACACACTCGCGTCCGCGACCCGCCGACCGATCTCGAGTACGCGGACGTCCAGTAGACGGAAATGGAGTGCACGGACGGACTTGGACTACGCGGACGGGTGTCGAGTACACACTCGCGTCCTCGACCCGCGGACCCATCTCGAGTACGCGGACGTCGAGTAGACGGACGTGGAGTGCACGGACGGACTTGGAGTACGCGAACGGGTGTCGAGTACACACTCGCGTCAGCGACCCGCCGACCGACCTCTAGTACGCGGACGTCGAATAGACAGACGCGGAGTGCACGGACGGACGTCGAGTGCACACTCGCGTCGGCGGACACACCTCGAGTTCGCGGACGTCGAGTAGACGGACGTGGAGTACGCGGACTGATGTAGAGTACACACTCGCGTCCGCGTCCCAACAACGTATACCCGACCCGCCGACGGACGTCGAGTGTCCTCGATCCTCGAAAGATGTCGAGTACACGAACGTCGTATCTAATTAGATTTCGAAAAAAAATTTCTGAAATCGGAAAGAAATTGTGTCCGCGTCCGCGGATCTTCGTCGGACGTCTAGTACACGGACGCGTCCGCGGATCTTCGTCGGACTTCGAGTACACGGACGCGTCCGCGGATCTCCGACCGACGTCGTGTACACGGACGCGTCCGCGGATCTTCGTCGGACGTCTAGGTGTTCGCGACCCACCAAGGGAGTTGAGTAGACGGACGTGGAGTACACCGACCGACGTCGACTGCACTCTCCTGTCCGAGGATTTCCGACCGACGTCGAGTACACGGACGCGTCCGCGGATCTTCGTCGGACGTCGAGTACACGGAGGTGTTCGAGACCAACCAAGAAACGTCGAGCACACGGACGTGTCCACGATCTCCAAAGAACGCCGAGTACACGGAGGTGTCCGCGATCCTCCGAGTCACTTCGAGTACACCGGCGGACGTCGATTGCACCGACTCGTCCGCGGCTCTCGGACGGACGTCGAGTACACCGACGGACGTCGTGTATACGCACGTTTCCGCGATCGCGGACGAACTTCTAGTAGACGGGACGTAGAATACACGGACGAAAGTCGAGTACACGCTCGTGTCTGCGAACCGCCGACTGCCTTCGATCTCTAACGAAAGTCGAGTACACGAAGTACATTCTCCGATGGACGTCGCGTACGCGAACGTGTCCGCGACACTCCGAAGGACGTAGACAGACCTCGAGTACACCGATCGAGTACGCACCAGTCGTGACCGTGTCCGCTGTACGGTTCAACGGATCGGCCTCGGAGAAGCTGGACTTAAAAAATTTTTCGAAAAAGCTGGAAGCACCGGGTTCATCGATTAGGCGTCGGACACGGCATCGCGTCCACGACTTCGGTTCACATCCACACGTTCGAAACAGTTTTTAAAAAAATTGTTGAAATTTTTTTCTGTTTCGAACGTGTGGATCGAACGTGGTCGGCTCCGTGTCCGGCGCCGCCGAGTACACGACGGTGTGCCGTGCACGTCGTCGAGTGCACGAGACCGGCGCCGGGTAGACAAACACGAAAATTTGAATCCAAGTTGTGGATCGAATCATGATCGCCGTTCATGATTGCTGGAGACCGGCGTCGAGTACGCCGTCCCCTCCACAACTTCCAATCCCTCCGGGGTTCGAACGAAGTTGGAAACAGGAGCCGGAGTTGCGACACCGCCGTGTGTGTGGACCGAAGAGCAACCGAACGATCGATCCGTGCACCGATGACGTAGAAGAGAGGTACCGATGACGTCACCACCTCCCATCTAATAAATCTACGATCTTGAACATTCCATTCGAATTAATTTCCTTGTTAGACGTTGATCGAAACCAGTCAGTTACAATGCACCTGCTGAAGATTATCGTTTCGCTAATTGTCTTGTACATATGTTTGGCAGCAATATCTAAACGGACGGGTAATGAGCGCCCTGGCCAAATGGTCAAGCTTGCGATGATTTTGTTAATTTTCGATTTTTTTTACACAGTTTTAAAAATGACCGTCCGATGTTTCATAGAAGAGTTGGCAATCGTATCGAAGCTTGAGACGTGCCATCTGCTTTAATTGGATATCATTATGCTGATCGTCGTGTACACTCTTTTGCCAGCAATCAATCATTGGACCGTTATGGAGCTCATCGGCCATCTAACCAAAACTGTAATATCTGCCATGGGATTCATTTGATTCCGTCTATCGTGTACGGCCGGATTTTTTTTTAAATTTAGGTTGAAAAAGACTAATAAAAGAAAAGAAACACAAAGAAATATTTTGTATGTCTGAATTTATTGTTTCTCCTTTTCTTAACCAATCCTGGGTTTAATTTTTTGTTTGTTTTTAAGACGGCGGATGTCGTCTGACCACGTTACCGGCAACCAGCGTCCGCCTGTCTTCGTCGACGGAAGCCAGCACCAACGGAAAGGTCGAGAGATGGTGATGTAACCTTCGTTCTGCCTGCTGGCCATCTCGGCGGTCACGCCGTCGAACGAGGAGGCGTGCATGTACGGGATGCTGTGCCTGACGTGCTGCGTGACGCTCACCGCCTCGTCGTACGCGGAGAAAGCTGGCATCAGCGACGAGATCTCGAGTCGCTGTTCCTGGGCGAACTCGAGACCCGGTACGGAGGACCTGAAGCTGACGCTGGGAGCGTCGAAGTCGAACCACGTCAGCCGCGCCAGGGCGAACGCCAACTTCTCGTCGTCGGCGACCTCTGGCACAGCGAACGAGAACGCTATCGCCGGATACGCAGCTGCGAACAGTCTGATGGCCTCGTCCGTGTCACATCGCGATCCCAGAGACGAGTAGCCGTCGTGCTCCGGAACCGGAAAACTTGGAATCCACCTCCTCAGGTAGGCGACGAACTTCCTCTTCCTGTGTCCGTCCACGCGTTTCTCCAACTTTTCCAGGAAGGAATCCACACCCTCCACGGCTCGCGGGATCGTCCACGGACGGTGCGGGTACAGCGGTGCCAACGACTTAAGGAGATCTCTTCCGGTCAACTCCTCGTCTCCTCGCTGCCAGTCGGCGCACAGACATCCGACGACGGCGTCGAAATCTTTGAACAGAATCAGTCTCTTTCCCATCTCCTTGTACAGGGTGGCTCGGAGTCTCGGCAGATTCCGCAACTCGCCATCCAAGTCGATGCGCAGACCGTCGAGAAGATCGTGACGTTCCAATCCCAATCTTTGCGCTTCCAAAGACAGTGTCG